GAAACATCTATCCCACAAATTTAATCTGGGTTATTGAGAAGTTAAGAAGACACCATCTTTTTTAAGTTCCCATTAAGGACTTGGGGCGATATTGATCGAAAACAATTAAAATTCTACCCATGGTGAAACAAGAGTCAAAAGTCTACCCTGGGCGATAGGATAGAATTTAGTGTATTAGATTTCAGTTTGTCTTAATTAGGTGTTAGTTATTTTATTAATTGTTTCGCTTTAGAAGTTCCCTTAGACATAACGACTATTGTGTGAAAGTGACCTAGGTTTTTCATTTTATTCACAATACTAATACTGATATTGAATTTGAATTCTTCTCTTATTCTCTCTTTCCATCCCTGTTATTCTGTGTTACCTATTTCTATGACCCAATTAAGCGTTACTCCTCATCCAACGGATTGTAGTGTCAATTACGAAGAAATCGCCCCACTGCATAAAACTCGTTAAGGGTCGTATACCTCTGTTTAGCCTTGTTTAGTTTTTGGCGAAAATAGGCTACATGATGACCTTAGAATTATTTTCCAATTGTGTTGCCATCTCTTCCTCTCCGCCGTCCTCTTTTTTCACAATTCCGTTCCTTCCATTTTGTGTGTAATTCTGTCTCTTCTCTGCGTGTTGCCGTCTCTGTGTATATTTCCAATTTCTGGCCTCCCGCTTCTTTTTTCCCCCCCTACAGCAGCCGCTGGCTTTTTGTATATGTTTTTCAAAAGAATCCTCTTTAAATTTGAGTCCCCCTATGCGCGTATACATCTCTTTGCTGCCAAATTCATTTTTGTCCAATTAGAAGTCTAATTGGTATTTTTTTTCCTTCCATTTCAGCCGCCCAACGTTGAAATCCAATTAGAAGTCCAAGTAATTATATAATTTGATTCCAAATGCAAGTCCAAATGAAAAGCCCAATTAGATTATTTCCGGTGCCCATTTACTATAATATTTCTCTCCAAGGTTCTATCTTTTCCAAACAATGCAATTTAGTCCTTGAATCCATTTATTTGTGCAACCCATGCCCTCTTCAGTTTCTGAAGTGTGGAATTTGATCCTATACTTTAAATCAAATGGCCAATTAATCCTTCTTTATTTTTCAATTGCTTTGAAACGGGTCCAATACTGAAACAAAAAAAAATTTATCTAAATTATGTAGAAATCAATACTTTGACGATATAAAAGCTTAATAATATGACCTAGATAAGTCTACAAAACGTACTTATCAAAACCTTTGTTTGTCCTCGAACAAAACAAAACTCAAACATAAACCTTTGTTTGTCCTCGAACAAAACAAAACTCAAACATAAACCACATTATTACCTAAAAATCATGATAATGCATTTTTTCACACAAAGTGATTAGAATTAGATACTTGAAAATCTAGAAGGGAGATGGTAAGTTTTTCTCAAAATCACCGCCAATCTCTAGAGTTCAAGTCTCAAAGTACTTATTGGGCACATCTCGCTTTTGATAATCTAAATCTTTCATTTTTTTTAATTTCTCAATGAATATATTGATTGTGTATTTTTATTTTATTTTATTTTATTGGCATCTTATGCGTAAGACTTCTTTCCATTAAGCTTTCGAAATGACCCTTGTAGCTAGATTTAGGTCGATGACCCCCAAGTGAGATGATCATAGGTCACTAAATTTTATGTACCATAGCAGGCATAATAACTCGAGTCATAAAGTTTACGATGAGAGGTATAAGATGTATCACACTTCTTTTTTCGATATGAGATCAGAATTTTTGAAGTGATCAATGCCCATTTTAGACTCCTTAACACAAACTTATTCAACCAACGGTGAGATTCGAGAACTCCAAACCATCAAACTTTTATAAATACAAGCACTAGCCTTCCCACCATCGAATTGTTTTTTAGCAGTTTGGTTTCTATATTAAGGTTCTAGGAATTCAACTCAAACCTAGTATACAGATAAAAGCATTAAGTTAATACTTGCGCCTGTATCTCACAAAGTAATAAAAGAACCAGTTTCTTCAATTGAAATAGGTAAAGTGAAACTCCTTGGATATGTGATTTTGGGAAGCAATTTTTTTTTGTAATCTTGCATTGCTCTTCTCTGTCAGCGCTACAGTTTCAAATTCCGGAAGCTCTCTTCTTTGATATCATGAACGGGATATTGATGTGGAGTTTCTTTAGTACATCCAGAAACTTCCCAAACTGGTGGTCTAGTTTGTATTTCTTCAACCTTTGTAGGAATGCGATGGGAGGTACATATTTTCTGACGGAGTGGCTGCCTTAGCTTGTAGATTATTTGAATTCTCTTACAAATTTTTCGCAGATGATTTTTTAGACTCATCCACTTGCTCCTCATCTTTGTAGCACTTCGCTCACGATTGTAACTAGTCTTTGACTGTTATCTCAGGCAACTGTACTCCACTTCTTGTTGCGATTGCTTTCATAGATGGATCCTCAATTATTTCATTCTCTAAAATACTTGTGGCCAAGGTTTAAAAAGGCGGAACTAAGTACTGAGGCGTTTTTTCTTTATGAGGCGCCTCGAGGCGGTTTGAGGCGTAAGCC